TCCTGGATGAGAACAACATCCAAGGAGAGAAGCTAAGCCTGAAGAGCCACAGACCCAGGGATAAAGCATGAACCTGACCAGCCGCTTCAGGGACTCCAGTGTTACCCTCCCAAAGTGACTGGGTGAGAGACACACTCACAGGAGACAACCAGGGAGAGGGAGTTGGCCAGACATAGACCCCTTCCCCTGGAAGTGTAAGCTCAGGCTCTGAAGGACACTGGCCCTGCCTCTGTAGGCAACAAGAAGGTCTTGTGAGCATAGACATTAAGCCCAACAGTCCACTTGAACCACATTTTGTGACCTACATACAGCAGAGACCAGAGGAGGGCTGACTGCATTTCCCATCTACCTACGTGAGCAAGGACACACCTTGATTTGGACAATAACCAGAATGAACCCAAATAAGGATGTGAAGGTGATCAAGCCACAACATCTGTCACCCCATTGACTCAGCTGATCTGGCTGGCCAGATGGGTGTCCCCTTCCTCCCTCAGTGCTCCATGTGTGTTCCTCCTGAAGCTTTGTGCTGGGTCAAGGAGGATAACCACCCCCAATAGAAGAGGACCTTTTCCTCCACCAAGGTTAAGTATAAGTAGTAGCTGTGCAACCCTGCTAGAACCTCCAAACAAGCTCCTGGAAGCTAGCATTACCCTGATTCCAAACCAGACAAGGACCCAACAAAAAAAGAGAACTATAGGGCCAGGGGATTTAGCTCAGTTGTTCCACCACCTGCCTCCCAAGATCAAGGACCCAAGTTCGATCCCCGGTACAAAAAAAAAGAGACAGAACTATAGGGCAAGGGATTTAAGTCAGTGGTGCCACTTCCTGCCTCACAAGAGCAAGGTCCTGAGTTTGATCCCCAGTACCAAAAAAAAAAAAAAAAAAAAGAGAGAGAGCTATAGACCAATCTCTTGAATGGATATAGATATAAAAATCTTCAAGAAGTTACTGGCAAACAGAATGCAACAAATCATCAAAAAGATCATACACCATAAGGGCCAGGGATGTAGCTCAGTGGTTTCGCTGTCTGCTGCACAAGCACATGGACCTGAGTTCGATCCCCAGTACCAAAAAAAAAACCAAAAAAGATCATACACCATAACCAATGCCTATGTCATTCATGTCATCAGAAGGCATTATTTCATTTTACATCATCACAAGAAAGATGAGTGTATTACAATGTTTTAAAAAAAGACCATATTCATCAAACCTTTATTACAGTATATTGTTGTAATTATTCTATTTTACTATTATTGTCGTTAATCTCTTACTATCCTTATCTATAAATTAAACCTTATCACAAGTTTGTATGTATAGGGAAAAACATGGTGTATCCATTGGATTGAGTCTTAGCCATGATTCCAGGCACCTACTGGGGAGTCTCGGAACATAGTTTCACGGATACAGGGGGGCTACTGTGCTCAATGTAGGTCACAGATCCTTTCTCCAGAAAATAATACACACATATAACTTTTCATAAAATTTCAGGACCCATTCAAGAACTCATTCAAAAATCCCAGCTTTAAAGTTCCTGATGTTAGTGGGGTGTGGTGGTACAGGCCTGTGAAGGGACCATGATAGTAGAGCGTTCAGTCAGACACGTGTGATCCAAGAATGACACCGATACGTGCCTGTTCCTGGAAGGACTGGCTACCCTCCCAGGAACAGCAGATACTAATATAAAATAGAACATCCTGAGCAATGGAATTCCAGGTCCAGGAAGTCGAAACATCGCTCTAAGTCAGGTATGCCTATTGGCACAGGGTCACCTTTGTCTCACACGGTATAAAAGTAACAGCAGTGGCAATCAAAAAGAGAGAGCTGCTGCACTGGACTACTCTGCAAGTCCCAGAACGGAACCTCATTGTGGCGAGTGTTGCTTTCCGATCTGGTGATGATATACTGAACCCTATGTTTGCCTTTCTAATTCCCTGTGTTTCCTTGATCTTTTCCTTCATTCTATTAAACTATTTCAAATCTTGGAGTAGTGTGTGGTGACTTTATTCTTGGATCGAGCTCCAAAATCTGATTAAAGGTGCACCTCTGTTGGCCAATTTCCCCTGTCAACACAGCCTATAATCCCAGCACTCAGGAGGCTGAGGCAGGAGTAGCTGGGGGGTTAAGGAATAAATGGATGTGGAGAGGAGGGATAGGAAATTAAGGGAGTTCCTAATTCAAGGCCAGTACATCCTTAAGAAAATAAAAGGGTATTTATTTACTGTGTGAATGAAGAGATATACAAAGAGAGAAAAGGTCTAAAATAGCTAACGAGTAAGTGGTGGCCTTCACTGTCTAGAGTGCCATGGCCATTATACTCCAACTCTATTCCTAATATTAGTCAATCAAGACTTGCTCTTGTCAAATCTTGTTCTGTTTCCAGTTAATCCTATTGGAACCACATGAAAAAACAGGAAATCAGAAAGAGCAAAGCAGAAGACACTCATTTCTAAGATGAAGAAATTGAGGCACTAAGATGGTAAATGACTGCCTATGCCACAACTAAAACCCACAACTAAAGAAGTGTGGAAACAGGAAAGTTGTTTTTTTGTTTGTTTTTGGTACCAGGGATTGAACTTCTGAGGCAGCCAGCGGCACCACTGAGCTAAATCCCCAGCCCAACAGAGAGTTTTAAGATCGGCTTTGGCAGATCTAAATCCAAGTGCTCTAAGTATTACAAGCCTAATCAAGAGCCTTGACTATGATAGGAATACTTTTTATAACATAGGTTCTTTGAGAAAGTAAGCACTTAGCTACTTTGTTTTTTGTTTTTGTTGTTGTTGTTTTGAGACAGGGGCTGGCTATATGTGTTTCAGGCTGGCCTTGAACTTACTATGTAGCCCAGGCTGGCCTCAACCTCATTGCAAATCCTCTTGGCTCAGCCTCTCAGGTGCTGGAATTATAGGTGTGTGCCACCAAGCCTGGCTTACCTTTTACTAAATGAAAGATCACCCGTAAAATTTAAATTGAGCCAGGTGTGGCAGCACACAACCTGTAATACCACCACTCAGGAGGCTGAGGCAAGAGGATTGCAGTAAGTGTGAGGCCAGCCTGGTCTACATAGTGAGTTCAAGGCCATCCTGAACTCTACAGCGAGATCCTATCTCAAAAATCACCACCAAAGGGCCAAGGATTTAGCTCAGTGGTTCTGGCGCCTGCCTTGCAAATGCAAGGTCCTGAGTTCAATCCCTAGTACCAAAAAAAAAAAAATTACCACCAAAAAAAGAAAAAATTGAATCGATAGTTATGTGGGATTTGGTCATCATAAAGCTGAGTTTCATTAAGTCTGTCTGCAAAAGAACAAAACTTTCCTGTAATAGCCATGCGAGGCAGTGCATGCCTATAACCTCAGTACTTGGGAGGCTGAGGCAGGAAAATTGCTACAAATTCAAGGCCAACCTAGGGTACATAGTGAATTCAAAACCAGCCCGAACTACATACCAAGACCCTGTCTCAAAAAAAAAAAAGCTTTCCATAATACTGAAAGATTTGTTTGGTGATACAGGGATCAAACCCAGATCCTTACGCATACTGGCCAAGTGATCTACCAATGAGCCTCTGAAAGACATGTTTTAATGGTCCTAAAGGACTATGATTTTTAAGTGGAACCCAAAATGCTTTCTGTAGTAGATATAGTAACTAAAATTGTTGAAGAGACTTAATATTCACTTAAAGTGAAAAGCTACACTTGCCAAGCAAGTTGATTTTATTCACCAACATCATATTCATCAACTATATGCAACTCTGCTCACTTTATTCTAATAACTTCACTCTGACTTCAACTTTTTTTTTTTGGTAACGGGGATCGAACTCGGGTCCTTGCCCTCGCGCAGCAGGCGGCAAAACCATTGAGCTAAATCCCTGGCCTCTGACTTCAACTTTTAAGAGCACTGAGACCCTCTGTCTTAACTTTCTGTCACAGGTATGCTGTGGGGGTTAGTTCTAGCAGGGCTGATATCAGTCTGCTCTGTTTAGTTTTACATGGATCTCACTATATTGCCCAGGCTGGTCCTAAACTTCTTAGCCAAGTGATTCTCCTGCCTTAGTCTTCCAAGGAGCTGAGACTACAAGCAGGTGCTACTGTGCCGGGCTTTGCCTGCTCTGTTGTTTCTTGTGAGGCAGTGACTGCTGGTCAAGGCATGAAATGTACTGGTTCATACTGGTATTCTATATTTATGGATCCAGAGACATTCAGAGGGGTTTGTCACACTGTTTATTGGGATTGATGACTTGTACCTGGCCTCAGTGAGGCCCCTCCTCCTCAGAAGGGTCTGCTGTACAGGCAGTAACAATAGAACATGCCTACTTAGCCAATAAAAAGTGAGAAGGGGGGCCGGTTGGGAATTTAGCTCAGTGGTGCCTCGCCTGCCTGGCAAGTGCAAGGTCCTGAGTTCAATTCCCAGTACCAAAAAAAAAGTGAGAAGGTCCAGCAAAGACTCCACATTGGGCTTCCTGGATCTGAGGTGTTTTGCGCCCACATGCTCATCTGAGAAAATGCACCCCACCATAGGCTTAACAAAAGGAGAGAGGGCCGGGGATTTAGCTCAGTGGTTTCGCCGCCTGCTGAGCAAGCACAAGGACCCGAGTTTGATCCCCAGTACCAAAAAAAAAAAAAAAAAAAAGAAAAGAAAAGGAGAGAACTGGCTATGACAGCCATGAGCTGTGATATACATCTGTACTTTAACGCTGCTGTTGGACTGTATTCTTTCCCTATAATAAAGTGTAAATTAGTAAGCACTGTCATTTTGGGTTCTGAGTTTTGTTTTATAATCAAACCCTGTTTCACTGCCACTGTTAGTACAATCAACCTATTAATAATACATACAGTAACTCATTAACTTGTCTCATGGCTCTTGGCTTCTGCCATGAAGTTTAGGTCATTAAAAACCTATCAGAAACCCTTAATGTGTGTAAGAGGGAAACAGTAGCAGCAACTTTTACAAGGACAGTATAGTTGCAAAGCACAATGTAAGAGCAAAAGAAAAAAAAAGTCATTTTGTTACCTTCATATTTTTCCAGGGCCTGTATAACATTAGGAAGTTGATTTATACCCTGGTAGAGTCGGTAACAATCTTGTAAGTTTGCAGCTTGTCTCTGAAATTTCTTGGCAAGTCGGTTAAGATCTGGGAATCGACGAAGTAAATCCTCTTGTAAATTCTGCCGCAATTCCACATCTTCTACAAAAGCCTCCACTAAATTTAGTCTGAAATAAAATTAAATCGGTCAACTAGAGTTGAGCACATAGCTAAATGGCAGAATACATGTTTAGAAAGTGCAAGGCCCTAGGTTTGATCCTCAGCTCCATAATCACCTCCATTGCCCACAATGTCAACTACACACACAAGTCTCAGCTAAATAAACTTAAAACTTCCACATAAGAAAACTACATATATTGTGAAATGTAAGCTTTTTCCAGAGAGTGAAAAGCTCCATAAGACTTTGAGACAAACATTTCCTGATTAGTCAGTCAAATTAATGCCGAGCAGTGTCCTAACATACCCAATGTTGTTTGATTTTCATCAAATTGACATTTCTTAAACAGGAGTATTTCATTACTAGAACATTTTTTCTACTGACACACTGTTGCATGTGCAAAGAGTGGTATTTAATAAAACAGAATTACACATCAACAATGTTACCAAATCCAATATTTATTCTGTCAGATGGACTTTTACTTTTTTTTTTTTTGGTACTGGGGATTGAACTTGGGTCCTTGAGCTTGCACAGCAGGCGGCGAAACCACTGAGCTAAATCCCCGGCCCTGGACTTATTTTTAGAATACTTTCTAAAATTATATCTTGACATTACGAAGACAAAAACTTTTAATCAAAAAACTGAAATAATTTTATTGCTTCCTAAAGTCAATAAATAATCTCAAATTGTTTCAAGAACTATAGAATATGTAGATTATATTGCTTTTGTAATTTACTGGAAACTAGACTTCACTTTTGTTTTTCATTATAACCCATAGCAAGAAAGTTTTTACATCAAGACTGAGTGCAAGCTTTCAGATCTGATATGTACATGCACTCACTCCCGATGATGAATGTAATCATTATATACTGCAAACATGTACTAATACATTTTTTAAAACCAGCACATACATATGTATATGACTGAAATAAAGTTTCACAAAACAATACTTACTTTTGCTATATGACGTGCTCTTTTGGTTTGTTTTAGGTGGTAAGGAGATTTAACCCAGGGCCTTTCCACTGAGCTACATAACCCCCTTTTACTTTTTATTTTGTGAATTTTGTGACAAGGTCTCACTCAGCCACCTAGGCTAGGTTCGAATTTACGATCCTCCTACCTCAACCTCCCAGATTCCTGGGATTACAGGTTTGTACCACAATGCCCAGCTTATTTTATTTTTCTTTTTAAAAATGTTTAGGGCTAGGGCCAAGGATTTAGCTCAGTGGTTCTGCCGCCTGCCTTGCAAGAACAAGGTCCCTAGTTCGATCCCCGATATCAAAAAAAAGCAAACAACAAAAAAACAAAACAAAAAAAATGTTTGGGGTAGACATATAGCTCACTGGTAAAGCCCATGTTTAACATGTATAAGGCCCACAGTTCAATACCCAGCACCAAAAAAAACCCAGCGCTATTTAATCATCCACTACATCACAACCCACTACTGACTCACATCTTCAGTTTGAAAAATAATGCTGTAGATGTTACTGAAGTAATAGCTGAAAGCTAAAGTGTTAACAATAGGAACTAGAAAAAAATATTCCTGGGGCTGGGGATGTAGCTCAATAGTAAAGCATTTGCCCAACATGTGAAAGACTTCAGGTTCAATCTCCAGTACTGAAAAGAAAAAGAGCTTGGTGACCTACACCTGTAATCCCAGCACTTGGAAGGATGAGGGAGGACAATCAAGAATTTGAAAAAAAAAAGAAAAAAAAAGAATTTGAGGTCAGAGCCTGGGCTACATAGCAAGTTTAAGGCCAGCCTAGACTACACAGTGAGACTGTCTTGGAAAACCAAAAAAGCAGCAACAATAAGAGAAGAAAGAAGAAAAGAAGGGGGGGCAGAGGGAATAGGCAATAAAGTTCCTGTACATATTATTTATGCCTAGTGATGGCTTTAGAGGAGCTTGTTCTGGAGGCCTGCTATCAGATGAACCACCATTTTCCATGTATTTGTGAACTATGTGAGCACTAAATTAACCTTCACATTTCCCAGGGACAGGAAAAAGAAACAAATCTCCCTCCCTCATTTCATTCTTTCTTTTTTCCAGCAGTACTGGGGATTGAACCCAGGGCCTCATGCATTGCTGGGCAAACACTTTACCACTAAACTACATCCCCCAGGCTTTTAATTTCAGTTTAACACAGGATCTCCCTAAGTTGCCCCGACTGACCTAAAACTTATGATCCTCCTGCCTCACTCTCCTGGGTAGCCTGGATTATGGGTATGTGCCACCAACACCTGGCTGAAACCAGTCAGCTTTCTAAATCTCTTAACTATTTATTGATCTCTCCAGCAGCATTGATAATTCCTGGATCAATATGTTCACTCATATGCTACCCTGAGTAATCACATTATGAACATTTGCCTTTAAGGTACCATGTCTCATTTTTGGCAATACTGACACTTTAGGAGACACCGTTTGTTAGGAGGAAATGTGCTTCTCTACCCACCACCCACTTTCTTAGATACATGACAACAAAAAATATCTGTAGACAAGGATGAATGTGAGCCTCCCTCCTGTGGGGCAAGAGTAGTCCCTCGGGTTGATAACTGCTGGTTTAAAGGAACCACAATAAAAATTTCACTTTTTTTTGGTACCGGGGATCCAACTCAGGTCCTTGCGCTTGTGGGGCAGGCGGTGGAACCACTGAGCTAAATCCCCGGCCCAAAAATTTCACTTTTTAACTGGGCACAATGACACATGCCTAAAATCCCAGCTACATGTGAGACTGAAGCAAGAGGACTCAAATTCAAAGCCAGACTGGGTAATTTAATGAGACTGTGGGGACAGGGGTCATAGGCAGGAAAAAGGATAAAATAAGATCTCATTAGGCTTTAATAAAGAAATTAATAGGAGGGGCCAGGGATGTAGCTCAGTGGCACTGCGTCTGTCTGGCAAGTGCGAGGTCCTGAGTTCAATCCCCATGGTGGTGGTGGGGTGAATCAACAGGAAATCTTACTAAAGGCAACTTTTTGCCTCTGCAGTTAAGACTCCAGCAATCAGAAAGACAAAGTTAATGGGGGAGGGCGCTAGATCAGGGAAGGCTCCAGGTAACAATTAACATAAGAATTTAGCGACAGGCAAAACAGGGATATAGCCCACCCCCCCATGAAATGCAAAGGAGACAAAGGGCAGCCACATAAGGACTCTTATTTAGGCTATAAAACACACATGTTCCCTTTACTTAATCATTAACTCTAAGTTACCTTCCCATAAGGCTCCTCACCCACAGTTATCCATCACAAAGGGACAGGAAGAAATAAAAAATGGCCAGAAAGAAGGTAGACAGAGGTGCTCAGGTTAGGATCAAAGACAGCCAGAGAGCCAACCAGATGTGGACAACTTCCAGGTGCCCACATGGGGGTGGGGTGGGGGGTGTGAGAGAAATCACTAGTTCTAAGTGAAAAGGAGCTTAGGACAAAAATCCACTGCTATTTCATTTCTGATGCCTCCTGCTCACTCAGGGTAGCTGTCTATCTTCTCTTTTCCATCTTTTTTTCCAAATAAACCATCTTATTTTATTTTAAACTCTGCCTCTTTAATTCATTACTGAAACTGAGAGCTTAAAATCCTGGCAGTTTTGTGTTCCAGACAAGGAGCGGTGAGCAGTACGTACATTTACTCTGCCACAAGATGATCCCATCTCACTATACTAAAGATACAGCTCAGTGGTTGAGTCTGGCATGCACAAGGCTCTGGGTTCAAGCCCCGGGGCTAATCTGCTATCAAGTTTGTATTATGAACCAGTTGCTAGGGCTGTAAACATCAAAAAAAAAATTCAAAAGCCAGGCGTGGTGGCACATGCCTGTAATCCCAGCACTCTGGAGGCTGAGCCAGGAAGCTCTCCCCAAGTTTGAAGCCATCCTCCTGGGCTACATAGTAAGTTCAAGGCCAACTTGAACTATACGGTGAGATCCTATCTCAAAAAACAAAAGCAAAAATAATAATTATTATTATAATTATTGAAGGATTTAGTGCTCCAGAAAACATTTCAATGGTACATAAACTTAAAAAAACTAAACAACAACAACAAAAAAACTAAACTAAAAAAACCCAAGCAATGTACAAAGCCAAATCACACAACGTAATTCCTAGCTAAGCCTCTGGCTCTAAGTGGCCTTCAACAGCACCAAAATCACTAGAATTCTGGGAACTGTGGAACATACTGTAATCATGGCTACTCTAGAGACTGAGGCAGGAGGATCTCACGTTTGAGGCTACTTTGTGCAATTTAGCAAGGCCCAATGCCAAAATAAAAAAATCAAAATCAAAAGGGCTGGGGGATATAGCTCAGTGCAAGGGCCTTCAATCTCTAGTATTGAAAACAAGAAAAAACAAACCCCAAGAACTAAGCAAACTTGATACATTACAGATCAAAGGACAGAGGAACGGGTTCTAAAGAACTAACCAAGCAGAGATATGCACTACAGCTAAGTACCTCAGAGTGAGGAAACTCTTTACACTTAAGATATACTATCTTTGTCCTCTGTCTTATTTCTCCAAAGACCAGAAACAGAGACACGCCTCTACGTTAACTAGTTTTCTTTCATTTCTATTTTTCTTTTTTGGTTTTTCCAGACAGGTCTCCCTATGTAGCCCAGGCTGGCCTGGAACTCAGAGATCCTCCTGCCTCAACCTCCTGAGTGCTGGGATTACAAGAGTACTACTAACAAGTTTTAAAGATATTCAAACCATTTCCAAATGATCTAAATGCATTATTAAACAAATCTTTTTATCTTGAATTGTTTAATTTCTCCTTTTCTGTGGACAAATTCTCCAAACTGGACTTCACATACACTATATCAAAATTCACTTTTCAATAAATTTCAGAAACAATCATCAACTTTGTTTCCTAAACCCCTAAATTTAAAACAAAATAATTGGGATATTCAAAGAAATATGATACCAAGCTTACATTGGTCAGTTCTCAGAAAGTTAACCTGAAAAACTGAGCATTAAGTAGCCATATAATTTTTATTTATTGTGTAAAATTCTAGTAAGAGCTT